CTGTAAGGATTTAAAAAATAAAAAATAAATCTAATTTTTGAATATTTTCTACTAACTTCTAAACGAATTTATGTCATAATTCGTCATAATTTTCCCACATCATGTCAATATTTATTTTATATATACTAGGTAAAAGGTAAATCATTATCTCAATATTTATTCTATATATTCTAAGTAAATCTTCTCATCTATCTCAACGGTCAGCAGGTAGTATTTCATACTTTTCTATTCATAATCAATATATCAAAACTTCACAAATTTTACTTCACAAAGAAAGTGTTCAATAATTTATATTTTTTTGTCCTTCTTTGCAATCCATTTATTTTTGTTACATATATATAAATTATATTATTTTTAATATTTCACACGTTAAACATTTCAGGAAAATATACCATACCGTGCATCGACTGGCTACGCGCTAGTTCATTTTTAAAAATTTCGACAGATATTGAAGTGAATATGAAATTCAAAACATCTTCTCATTTTATTTTTAATAAAATCTGCATCCAAATTTACGTGTGTTTTTGAAGTGAAAATTTGAAATTCAAAATCTCTTCTCATTTTAGTTACAAGAAAATCGGGCTGCATTCAACACTTGAACCAATTTAAAAATTATTCCTTAAATGAAGGAATTTATTGATAATTGTTATCTCTACTCAATCACATGATTATTTTCAATATAAACAGAGACAAATTATAAATTAGTGAATCATATATTACCTAATTCAATATCTTAACATTAAGGAATAAATCCATAGTATTATGTAAATTCGTATCTCATATTATTATCTCATTAAAAATATATTATAATTATATTATCAAATCACATAGAGATATTAAATCCATATTGTAAAAAAAAATAATTCATATAATTTTATAACAATTATACTACACTATTTAACAGTATAGTGAATCATATATAATAAAATAATAATTAAATATTATATAGTGAACAAAAATAAGTAAAATTGTTACTTTCTCTTATATCAAAGGATAAATATATATGCTAAAATTAAATTTGTATTAGTATAAATATTTTAGTGAGATAATATATTAATTATTTTTCAAGCTAGCTATAACATGCTCATATTTAATATTCTGGCTAAAAAAACAACGCTGATTAAAAGATGTAGAAAAAAACTTATAATAAACCTATTATTTTTTAGACTTAAACGGACAAGGGTGTGAAAATAACTCATTTAATATCTCTATCCCGTGGATCGCACGGAGTAAGTACTAGTCGATCAAAATAAAGGCAACTTTTTATAAAAAAAATGACATGTCTTGTTCATGTATACCATTAACTGACATGTCGTGATTAAAAGGATTTATTAAATGAGACTACTACAATTAAACTATTCTTTACACACTTCCTTAATTTGTTTCCAAAATACTAGATTGATATCACAGGCTAGCACCCTTGATTTAATTAATTCCACCACCACAAACTCATTATTATTATTAACAAACAAAATTACTTAAGAGAAATTAACTATAAAAAAAAAATAGAATATCTTCACAAATACAATCGAGAGAAAAAACAAAGATAATCTATCATTATATTAAAAGAATAACCTTTTTATGATTTCCCGCCAAAATCATTATTTTCCCTCTAAAATCATTAAATACCCGCCAAAATCATTATTTTTCCTCTAAAATCATTAAATACCCGCTAAAATCATTATTTTTCCTCTAAAATCATTAAATAAATAGTGATATAGTGTTAACAAAAAAACCGGCGCTGGTTTTTGTGATGTTTTTCTTTTTCCTATTTTGTTAGGTTAACAAAATAATACAGTTTTTGTGATGGTTCCCTTTTTCCTATTTTTTAGGTTAACAAAATAATAGATATTGTGTTGATTTGTTTCCTTTTCATTTAAACTTTTTAGGCAGAAATTTCGAAACATTATATTTGATTTAATGTGTATATATTTGTTTTTTTTTTCCTTTTTTTTGACCGAAGGTGTTTATTAAATTAGCCTTATAATATTTTAGTTACTTTAAACAAATTGTTTAGACATTTATTTTTTACATATTCGTCTATATATACACATATACACATATACATAATTGATGTTAAATTTAATTATTTGTAGACATGCTTTTTTTGCAAAATAGTCTAGAAACTTTTTTTACATAATGTTAAATTCAAATGTTTTTAGATATGTTTTCTTTTTAAAATTGTTTAGAAAAGTTGTAGGTGACTTATATCTTTTAAAAATAATATAGAAAATTTTGAATACTTTTACATATACTAATATAATATTTTAGGTGTTTTCAATATTAAATATACAAATTTTATATTCTATTATACAAAATAATGTAAAATTTATATTTTCTTATACAAAATAATTTTACATTGTCTGACCCCGACACTTTAATATATAATTATTATTTTTTCTTCCCCTTTTTAAATAGGATCAATAATAGTTTCCACTTTCGTCATTGAGTGACTCAAACTTGAGGTATATTTATAATATTGTTAATGTAATATTGTTACCGTGCATCGCACGGGTACACACTAGTTCAAGTTTCACCATTTTCTTATTTTATGAGACTAAACAATCACCCGATATCAAACTTAGGGCAACGACCTCAAAAACAATATTACATTTACAGTAATATTCTCCCTCGTGCAACTTTCAGTCTTTCACACTCATCTTATTGTAATTAATAGGAGATATAGCTCAACGGTA